ATTCCATTTGTTTACTATATACAACGGCGAATAATCAACGCCACGTGAATCATTTGCCATTGAATGGCCACAAATAAAGCGTACAAAGCAATTTGCACATGCCCCAAACATTGCGCCATTCATAGCGCTGCAGAGTGCAGAGGAAGCTCGGCTTTCGCAGTTCCTTACCACATGATGCAGTTCTCACGATTCTGTTGCAGCATTGCCACCGCCACCGCCACCCAGAGAAGACGCTAACCTGAACTATCTATCAAGTGTCCCAGGGTTTCTGGTTGAATCTGGAATGCTACGCAAACAAATCGCCGGCATTATCGTCGTTATCATCTTTTGTAAATCTAATGCTTGTCGCGAGTGGCTGACTTGAATATACCCTATAAATACTCTAGCTTCCTTTTGTTCCCTCTTCTAACCCACACCATAAAAGATTCATTTTGGCATAGCTTCGTTCTCTGCAGATCGTATCTTTCATTCGATTTTCAATATTGTACCCCAATATGAGCACAATTGGGTAGAACAGGGGAAAGTATACATACTTTTGATCAGTGTATTCTATACGAGAACCTAATTACCAAATTCGGGTTCCATAGCTCTTATATTCTCCGAGCTATGCTAAAAAGAAACCTTGTTAAAAACTCGATAAATTTCGATATTATGGAGATGGGGCAGATATCGAAAAACAGAAGATATATGTGTCAAGCCTTAAGTCTGAACTCTTATATACCCATTTTTATGGCCATTTGCCAAGGAGCACAGGGTATAAAAACATTGTTCAGTTGTGTATCGCAGCAGAGCTCGTTGTTTTTCTCGTTTTATGATCTTGGCTCCGATGACCCAGCAGTACTAACGACAGGCTCAAGGATCCGGCGAGAGGCCAGCTGAAGTGTTTTTCGCTCGTATTACACAACAATCGAAATCAATTGAGTTCAGAAACAATATGAAACATGTTGAGCGCTTATCGAGGCACTCGTCGAATTGGGGCTGTCCACATTGTAAATTGGTGACAATCGAACAACTGTTGCAACTGCCACCGGATTACCCATACCCGTACCCATACCCCTCCCACTCCCCTCCCCCCGTCAGCAGAGCAATAGCGACTGCCCCTTCCCACACTCGATGTTGGCATACTTGCGACATCGGTTTGTTATTAAATTCGTAATACCCCCACAATGGTTTTATCTAGCCATATGCCTTATCAATGCTATCGGGCCCTGCTCTCATGCCCTCTCGCTCTCTCGCTCTCTCTCTCTGGCTCTCTCTCTCGCCCGCTCTAACTGCACGGGTTTCACTGCAGCGCCTACGCAGCTCGAGAACCTGCGCAGACCTGAAGCCACAAATATCAGTTGGTTGTTTTTTTTTTTGGTTTTCGGATCGTCCACATTTGAATTGTGGCTGCTAAAAACTTTGTGTTTTCGTTAAATTGAAAATTTAATTAAATTCTTCAAGTACGCCAATTGAGAATCCAGCGGGGCCCTGCAACCAGCCAAGGGTTGCGCCAATCAAATGGGACTCTTTTCCAAGTTCAGCTATACCTATAATACCATGTGGGCCAAGTAAGTTCTTCCCAGTTGTTGTTCCTGCTGTTGTTCCTGCTGTTGTTGTTGTCATTGTCATTGTTGCTGCTGTTGCAATTGCTGATGCGGAAATGCTCAGCATTGAAGAGACCAGCATAAGGCGTCTCATATTTTCATGATGTACGAACATATTTTGCATACTGCACATACGTACGTACGTACGTACGTACATCTACTATGCATATTTCTGGAATTTCGTTTTGTGTTGTTTTTTGTTTTTTGAAGTTGAGCCTGGGAATATCTTTGAATAACATATATCGTGTATATATGTATGTAGGTGTTTGTATGCATTTGCAGTTTTCCGGTGACGTCTTGTTACTAGAGCTGCAATTAGAGCCAGCTACTATTTTGCATGAGTTGAGGCCACAGCATGTTGTTGCTCACAATATTGATAGAAACATAGAATCGCTGAAGAATAATAGCTGTGTGTTTGTCTTATAATATATATATATATGATCTAATAGGCATTAACTACAAAATCACAGCCAATATTCAGCAGCTCTTTTTCCTTAGTTCTCAGTTTTTCACCCATTTTCCGCTCACAGTTGTGGATTTTTTGAAACAGATATTAAATAGTTATAGATACATGCATAGATTATGTAATTGAGTTTAAGAATTTAAATTGAAATTTAAATACTAAGCTTTTATCGTTTATCTTTCGGCAGAAATATAGCATAGCAAAGAGACTCAACTAGCTTTATTTAGTTGATAAATATAAGATATGGGTACTCATGATTGCATTCTACTCACTTGTAAATCTCATTGTGAAGTTTTCTATTTGCTTCTTTTTATTACATTCATATTTATGCATCCGGCTTGTTACTTTCCGATAAGCCGTGCATACATGAGTTAGTTCTTGCAAAGTGGTTCAATAGCCCTTTCTGATAAAAGTGTATATATGATATGTGTGTGTGTGTGTGTGTGTGTGTACCCACAGTCATGGTCAAAATAATAAGTACCACAACTAATTTGGACTTTTAAATTCTATTGCAAATTAAATGGAAATAAAATAATTAGTCAAAATTAAAGAATTAATCAGCTGATATATGTTCTTGGGTATATCTCGTACATACATATATCTATAAAGAGCTTTTATGTGTTTAGTCACCATTGTTTTTAAAAGTTTTGCCAGTTGGAAATAGGTTTATGCATGTCCTCACTTGTATTGCGTGCCATGTTTTTTCGTTCGTTTCATTTCAAATTCCATATTTGTGCATGTTCCAAGAACGGAAGATCGTAAAGCTAATTCAATTAAAATTGACCACACCCAAAATTGTTGCTGACCCACGTTTGTCATCAGTTCGCAGTGCACTTGAAGAGAAACACTGAAGATGACACCACCACCACCACCACCACCAAGAGCAGCAGCACCACACGCACCACACGCCCCCACTGTGGGCGACGAGAGCCCGCATTGGTTATGGCAAAAAACGCGGTCGCGTTTTAAGTCGCGAGAGGGCGCGTGCTCGCGTTTTTGCCGCTTTTAATTTAAGTTAATTGCAATTTCCTGTGCTGTTTTTTTTTTTTTTTCTCCGTTAATAAGTTGTTAACTTCAGTCAATTTTGAAAGTAATTTGACACGGCTCAAATTATATTGCCGATCAGTTACCATTTCGAATTAACATTATTTTAGTTCGTTTCTATACTGTACGAATTTTGTTTTCGGATTTGGAAATTAGTCATTTCCGTGCCGCGCAAAAGAGGCGTTAATTGCACCCAAACTGTTGTCACTAGTTGCACGGACACGCCCCCTCCGCACCAGCAGCTGCCCCAACGACTCGCACCTCCGCTCTTGCCCCCTTGCCCACTTGCCCCGCCCTCCTCTTGACCGATCGCCATAATTTGTATTATTAATTGACCAATTTTCAAATTCAAGTTGAAGGTCAAAAAGTAAGCGCGAAATAACACAGACGAAAAAAAAAAAAAAACGCAACTCAAATTATGAATCGGCAATTAGAATATACTCGTAGTGCCAGATATTATTGGAGCCCATGATTTCTGGCCGAACAGCGAAACCCATTGGGAAAAGTCCCGCGCCCAGTTCTCTTATCAAGGTCCGCTGCGGTCACATAAAACTCTTCCGGCTGCGTTTTTTTTTTTTTTTCATTTCCCTATTTTTTGTTTGTTTTTCGATCATTTGTTTTGCTGTTTTTCAAATGGAAAATCAAGGCCCAGCTTAATGCTGGTCGCAATTTATTTTTGCTTGCACTACACAATCGAACGATCGAATGAAATTTACCCTACGAAAAGGCTAGCATTGGCCACAGCGAGTGCTCATGTTCATCCCGATATATCAATATATATCTACATATATTATATTTGTATGATATTATATTATATTATATATATATACATATATATAAATATATATTTTATATATTTGTTAAAAAATTTTAGGCTTTTTCCTTTATAATTTAATAACGTATTTCAAAGATTTGCTCCTAATATATATTAATTAAATTAAAACAAATTAATGCTTAATAATACACTCGCCTCTTACTTTCCCTGCCCTTAGCCCTACTCGAATAAATCGTATGTTTGTTAAGTGGCAACCCTGCTTGTATTCAAAACGAAAATTGAAAAGGTGGCAACCCTTTTGCCGTACAGTACTTTGCCTTTTGAAAATAACTGACTTTTAGCCACATTTCAGTTTTATATGTAAGCAATATATTTCGTATTGTCAACGTTATCAACGTATTTGAGCTGCGACTTTGGTTGAGTACAGTTCGATATTTTATTAGATAAAAAGGATTTATTGTTACTAATCTGTCTTGGAGCTGAAAAACAATCGATAACCATTTAATATAAATATTTGAAAAACTGAAATTATACTTGAAACATTAATTCTATTAATATTATTGCCTTTATTGTTGGTGAATATTCCATTAACTGATGACGATGACTAAAAAATATCGATATAATATATATATACAAAAACGATCTAAAGTAGAAAACGGAAATAAATCTAAAATGATCAATTCTTAAGCTGTTCGATAAAATATTAGGAATGGTCGCCTAATCATCATCTAATTATTGGAATCGATCATCGATAAATCAAAAGAGATTAAGCTCAATAAATATAAGTTGTTACTGGACTGAGACAGGGTATTGGGCAGTCGGCTGCACCCGATTCGCACTTTTAACAGATGATGTAGCTGTTAATAGGTCTCATTAGTAAGTTGTCAGCTTAGTTAGTGGGAAAACGGAAAGCTAATCAATTGCGGTCATTGAGCAACGGCCAGTGAAAAATTTGTCCATTAGTTAACGCCTGGCTCTGACCCCGGCTCGAGCAGGGTCAGAAATGATAAGTTAAGCTCCATGTTGCATGACATGTGCATTCAATGCCAGCGCTCAACGTGACCTTTCTCCTACTCTCTCTATCTCTCTCGCTAACTAACGCTCTCTCTCTCTCTCTCTCGCTCTCTCGCAGCCTCTTCGAGCAGGAGATCATGAGCTATGTTCCAATTGAAGAGCGCAGTCCACAGGGCTCGCCGGTACTCAGCTCACGGATGCCGCAACGGGCGCCGCCGCCATTCCGCCGCGACTTTGAAGCCAAGCTGCGCAGCTTTTACCGCAAGCTGGAGTCCAAAGGTTACGGCCAAGGACCACACAAGCTGAAGTAAGTAGATGCCAAATGGTTGGCTTGGAGAAACTCTTATTAAGTGCTGTCGCTTTGTTGGCTTGCAGATTGCACATCCGACGCAGCCATCTGCTGGAGGACGCATTCCGTCGGATTATGTCCGCCAACAAGAAGGATCTGCAGCGTGGCCGTCTGGCCGTGCTGTGGGACACTGAGGAGGGCCTGGACTATGGCGGGCCCTCGCGCGAATTCTTCTTCCTGCTGTCCCGCGAACTGTTCAATCCCTACTACGGTTTGTTCGAGTACTCCGCCAACGACACGTACACCGTGCAGGTGTCGCCGTTGTCGGCATTTGTGGACAACTGCCACGACTGGTTCCGGTTTAGCGGGCGTGTGCTGGGCCTTGCTCTGGTCCATCAATATCTGCTGGATGCGTTCTTCACGCGTCCCTTCTACAAGGCGCTTTTGCGTCTGCCGGTCGCCCTAAGCGATCTCGAGTCGCTGGACAACGAGTTCCATCAGTCGCTGCAGTGGATACGCGACAACGATATAGGCACTGGCATCGATCTGGGACTTACCTTCTGTGTCACCGAGGAGCTGCTGGGGCGCGTTGTCGAGCGCGAACTGAAGCCGGGCGGCAAGAATCTCATTGTGAATGAGAAGAACAAGAAGGAGTATCTGGAGCGCATGATCAAATGGCGATTGGAGCGCGGCGTGCAGGAGCAAACGGAGTCGCTGGTGCGCGGCTTCTACGAAGTGGTTGACTCGCGTCTGGTCTCAGTCTTTGATGCACGCGAACTGGAGCTGGTTATAGCCGGCACCGCCGAGATCGATACCAACGATTGGCGCCTAAACACCGAATACCGTTCGGGCTACCACGACAACCATCAGGTGATCATCTGGTTCTGGCAGGTGATCGAGCGCTTTAGCAATGAGCAGCGCCTGCGCCTGCTGCAGTTCGTCACGGGCACATCCAGCATACCATACGAGGGCTTCTCGGCGCTGCGCGGCTCCACCGGTCCGCGACGCTTCTGCATCGAGAAATGGGGCAAGCCGAATGCGCTGCCCCGCGCGCACACCTGCTTCAATCGCTTGGATCTGCCGCCCTATCCCACGCCCGAGCTGCTCTACGAGAAGCTGCTGCTGGCCGTCGAGGAAACGAACACCTTTGGCATCGAGTAAATACAGCCAAATACAACAAAATGCCACCAGACACTAATTGCCATGTGGATGTGGATATGGCTGCGGATTCGGATTCGAATTCGGCTTTGGATTTGCATTTTGCAGCTGATGCGTGATATTTGATGGTGTTTGCTTCTTCCTTCTCTTTTTTCTTTTTTTTTTTTCTCATGCCAGCGCATTGCTTATTATTATTATTATTATTATTAATATTGCTTTTTTTCATCGTATTTATTGTATGTATTAGTGGCTTCGGGCTGGCATATTGTTGTTGCCAGCAAATCGATTAGCTCAACAGACTGTTTTTTACCCCACAGCAAATCATAGTATATAACACATATACATATATACATACGTGTATATATATATGTATATTAATTATTATTCTTATATATTATATGCTGGCAAATCGCGTTGCTTGCAAATTTGAACTTTGAATTGCCGCTTTGATTTTGCCGTTACCGTTACTGTTACCGTTACCTCAACAACTTTTTGCCAGCGCCCAAATGCGCCGCACATTGCAGTCATTAGTCGTAAGATATACACCTACACACACACACACACACACACACACACAACATAAACACATACACATACACATACATACACCTCTGAACCAATGACAAACTGCAGTCTCTAGTGCTTAGGAACCACAACTCTTGGACTTGGAACTATTGAACTAAAGTTCGTTCCGTTGAACTTGTTTACTTAAAGCTGCCTAAAGGAACTTTGCAACTTAAACTTACAACTTAAAGCTCGTCGTTAAAGCATAGCGAAACTTTGAATCGTTTTTCTTAGCATTCCAAAAAACAAAAACCAAAAAAAAAATAATCAAAAAAAAAACTATGAACAAAACTGATTAAAAACAGAAAACTTTAATTCAAGGTGATAAAAAACCTATGATAAATTCTACGCCAATACTTAAATAGCTTGTAATTTCTTAGTCTTAAAAAAATCTCTTTAGATGTGTGCGTTATTAGCTATGCGTTCCATTTAGGAATTGAAAGATTAAAAATACGTATGTTAGTTATAATATTTCGAACTAAAACTTATACTGAATTCGTAACAATTAAGTGAACTGTTTTTAAATTTACAAAAATTATAGAAAAACCGATTGTACGACTATATATATATACATACATATATATGTGCATGCATTTGCATATGTGTGTCCATATTCTGGGCACACATATTGGCCATATACCACAAATACCGAATGCATAGAAGTATATATATATATGTATATATATATATATATATATATATATATATATATATGTATATCATATGATCTGGTTAACCCCTAATACAAATTGGTCCAATGCGTTGCTTTGGCTTTATTGGTTTTTTCGGCGCATACAAATTAATATTAACTACAAATCAAAAATAACGAAATTTATTAGCAAACATTCAATGAAAATGGATACAAATTTTTAATATTAGCATTGAAAAGATAACAAATAAAATTGACAAAAAAACAAAACAAAAAAAAACAACTAATAAATGGTGATTTGTTTACATGTATTTTGGCATTAGTTAAGCGCAAGATTAACAAAGTGGAAAAAGAGAGACAGAGGAAACGATGGAAAGTGAGTTAGAGGAAGATAGAAAAACGCTTTTTTGAACTATCTACGAGTATATTGATAAATGAGAACGTTTTATTGTATTATTATGTGCGTGTATTTATTGAATAAATTAACTATAATTAACGAATTAATAAATGTGAGCCTTTTACTTGAAAAGCCAAATGCTGTCTTTGAATTTTTGATCCCTTAATTGAGAACTCTGATTATTTTGATTTCCTTTGAAAATTTGGTTGGCTCTGAATAATTCCAAATAAAGCCAATCTACTCTATGGAGCTTTAAAAGTCCAGAAAGTATATCTTTCCATAATCCGAGTTTATTTAGCCGAGCTATACACATTTAAAGGCTTAAAGCATTATTTTAATTGGAATATCTCGGGTATATAAGGTCATTTTCATAATCAACGAAGACTATCGACTGGCATTCACAAATGCAAATTTTTAATGTTGACCAAATTTTCCAATGTGGCGACATCACAATTTTTGCAGAATTCAAATCAATTCTGTAGATCTCTAACGCGGTAACGAAATCATTTCGCACGACACATCTCCGCCGTTCTACAAACGTCATAAATTCGCCTAACGAAAGCGACATAATTCCTCAGGAAAAATGTATTGTGCGGAAGTAAAATCCAATATCGGAGTTAATATACCCAGGATAAATCCATTTCAAGTTTCCAAATCAATTATTTAATTCAATTAAGTCGCAATAACGCAACAAATAAATAAGAATACTAAACATGAAATTAATTTTAAAAGAAATAAATAAATAAAATATATAATCAAAATGGCAAGTACGTAGACAGGAAATCTGCTAATGCAAATTTTCATTGCATACGCGCAGGGGCAAAAAATGTTCGGACGCTGCTGACTTGCAAGATTCCGTGGAGAGGGCTGTTAATTAACAGCTGCAGCTGCACTGTCTGTAAAAGGGGCGCTGTTATGTCGGCTTTTACGCAGCAGCAGCTGCTGAACTTTATGTAAAAGGGATGCTGAAAAAAATATTGACCTTTCTGGAATCAGAACTATCGATCAAGATTAATAAATTCCAAATTTTGACCAAACAGGATAAAGTTGGGAAAACGGCAACGGGCTACATCACAATTTTTTGGTTGGGTTCTGAAATCGAAAGATTTAATTTGAATCAATGAAGGAATATCTTTCCAGCATCGGATTTCACTAAAACGAGCTTTTGTCAAAGTTCTTTTAATCAATATTTGGTGCATTAATCCGATTTTGGGATGATATACCTTTCCGAATTTAGACTGTTTTTAATTAAACAACATGTATTTTCTTTTGTTTTCTATATATTTTGTTACACATTCTTTTTCATTTATTTTTTTGTTTGTTTTTTTCGTTCAGCAAATGAAATTCGCTTTAAATATACCAATTTAGTTTCTTTTGGTTTTGGTTTTGGTTTTCATTTTTTTGTTTTATTTTTATATTTTGTTGTTTTATTTGGTTTGTAATGAAATGATAACATATGCACTTAAATATTATTTATTATGCGATCGTTCTTTAGGCATAGATTTCCTTGTTTCGGATTAGCATTTAAGTATATCGACTCGGACTTAGGTCCTCCTATGTATGTATGTATGTATGTATGTACAGAGTTTTGAGCTGGGCCATGGAAGTGCTAGTTGAAATTAGTATTATTTAAATGTAAATGTATTTGGGTAAGTTTAGGATAAGTAGCAGAAGAGAGTATTGTGTTAATTATAAATCCTAATCATAGACATATAACACATCATGTTCTTGGTTGTGTAGTTTACTTTCATTTTTACTTTTTTCTTCTTCTTTTTTAGGTTAGGTTAAGGTGCGCATATTTGGGTGGGCTGGATATCGATCTCTGTTCTCTGTTATGTGTGTGTGTGTGTGAGTGTGAGTGCTAATGCTTTCAATGGAAAGATGCCTCACAGTTTGCGCTTGTGTGTGTGTGTGAGTCTGTTTATGTGTATGTGTGTAACTCTAACTAATTGTACATATTACACACGAAGAAATTTTGCTAAATCAATTTGTCATTTATAAGTTACATGCATGTAATATATATATATATATATATATATATCCATCCACAGATGCATTTATAAATTCTCTTCTTCAGCCACAAATATGAGACTACAAAAAAAAACATATATATGTATATATAAGTATTGACATTGACGGTTATGTACATATACATATAACATATACATATGTATGTATGTGTGCATGTTGTGGCATTTTGGGGGTTCCTTCGACTTTATAGCCATTTCAAGCATTACAAAAATAGAGCATTATTTTGAATTTTGGAATAGAGTTGCAATACATTTCCATTTGTTATCCCATTCCGAAAAGGCCTTTGAAAGAATTGAAAGTTGTTTTCTTCTCGTGATGTTCGTTAAGCTATTTTGAGTGTCATTCAGTATGGTATCCGTTAAATTGGTTATATGTGTATGATTTTTATTATTTTTAATCTGGGTGAGACTAGTGTGTGTGTGTGTGTGTGTGTGTGTATGTATGTGTGTGTGTGTGGGTGTGTATATATGTAAGCGGGAGTATGTTTTATGTTACCTTTTCCTCTTTTCAGTAAGTTGATCACAGCTTTTACAATTCTAATGATATACAAATGTATATGTGTGTGTATGTGTGCATGTGTGTGTATATGTGTGTGTGCGTGATTCTGTGTGTGTGAGCTTGTGGCCAACAAAGTATTTATGTATTGTTTTGCTCTTAAATTTGTCCTTCTACTAAATTCGCACCAAAAATATTGTGTGTGTGTGTGTGTGTGTGTTTGTGTGCCTTTGTATGTGGCTGTGTATATGCATACTCGAGAGCCACGCCCACTGTAAAGTCAGGATAGAAAGGCAATCGCCATATGCATATAGCTATTTCATACATACTTATATTTATAATACTTTTATATACTTTATATATGCACAAAGTTGCCTTGGCCAAAATGTTTATGCTTTTTATTATTATAATTACTTTTATTATTTGTTTTAAATACACCTTTAGTTGTATAGAAAGCTGCCAGTTAATGTTTTTTAAATATTTTTTTTTAGCGTTTCTTGCCTCACACAACAAGCAAATAATCCTGTTTTATTTAATATTTTTCATATGCGTTTTTCTTCATTGTTTCTTTTTTTTATAGTATTTAAAAAGGTAATACAAAATATGTTGATTTTAGTTGTAGTTTTTATGTTTTTTCTTTTACTTTTACTTTTTTTTTTTTTTTTGCCTAGCACATGAAAATCATAAAAAGAAGAAGGCATGTCATCTGTATATATGTATATGTATGTATATATATGTATATTTCCATATGCAGAGCGACTCTTCTTTTAACATACATATATGTATGTTATATCATTTACTTAGTAAAATGTTTTTTTTTTGTTTTTTTATTAAAATTCCACTACATTTACAATTAATTTTGTTCTACATTGAAAAATGCTAATAAATAGAGCAAAAGAAAACTAAAAATAAATACAAAAAAAAAAAAAATACAAAAAAAATACAAACATTATATGTTATAACATTCAACAGCTAGTAAGACGGTTTTTTGTGTTTTTTTCTTCTTCTTTCTATTTCTATAATTTTCGATTCTTTTGTCATCTTCGGTATTTTCGTACATTTTACATGTTGTTTCTCTCTTTCAACGAGCGACTGAGGAGGACTTTTCTTCTTCTAGATAGGGCCTGGTGGGGTCAACTTCTTACAGTATGGCGGCCCACATTCGGTTGCGGGGGAGTGGAAAATGCAGCTGCTGGGGGTTTCAAACTAGTTTGCACTTTGCTTCGGGCTATTTATCGTTATGTATGCAACAACAGTTAAACAATGCTTAAAAATGTATGCCTATATCATTAATATATATATGTATGCAAGCTATATAGACATATATATATATATATATATATATATCTGTTTTTGTTTGTTTTTTGCTTGTAGTTGATTGTAGGAATTTTGCAGCGATTTGCATAAACATTATTTATTTTTTTTCTATTACTCAAATGTGTGTGTATATATATATTATATATGTATAAAAAAAGTGTAAAAATCAGCAAAAAATTAATGGAATTGCACATGAAAACTCATCTCGATCGCTTCGGTGCGAACCATTTGCTATGATGTTGCCTGCTTCTGTTTTTCCTAATAAATAATTAAATAATTAAATACTTTAATACTTTAATTATTTATTGACTCTGGATCTCCTCCCGTGTTACCTCCGTTGCGCCGGACGGTATCAACTTGTTTTCTCTTTTTGGTTGGTTTTCTTTATGGAGGTGAGGGCTGCTCTGTGCTGAGCTGTTCCATTTACTGTTCTGTTTCGGTTTCGGTTTCTGTTTCTGTTTCAGTTTCGGTTTGGGGTACGGTACAATTCTATTTGTTATACTGTTATACGCTTGGGAGGCCTGGCCTTGCGTTTCGTTTCGTTGTACTGTGCCACGTTTCTCTCTAAGCGTCATATGAACTTTGTGTTTTTCTTGTTTTTTGTTTCTTTCTTGTAGTTAACTTTTGTCGGTCTGTTAAATAAACATTTGTGTTTTTAGCATGTTGTTATTATTTATTTGATTTTTTCCTCGTTTCGTTTAGGTATTGTTTTGCAATTTCGCATAATGCTGATCTTTTATTTTTATCTAGTTTTTGTATTTTGTTTAAGTTTTTGTTTTCAACTTTAATTTAATTTAAATAAATGTACATTACAATTACAATTCTTGTTAATTAGGGGAAGCTAAAGGTGATGATGATGGGGAGGGGGCGGGGGCGGGGGCGGTGTGGGGATTTTGATGTGGAAAGGGGGCGGGGTATACATTATGTTTGCGTTTCTCAAAAAAAAGGCACCATTTCTAATCATGAAATGATTCGCGTAGAAAATAATGCATTTTAAATATTAATTACGTACATTACATAAAAATTGGTATAAATACAAATACATATACATATACATACTATGTAGGTATGTTCGTATGTGTGTGTGCATGCGTCTGTATGTGTGTGTGTGGATGTTCGTGTGTGCGGATATTTGTATCATATATGCACATCCCGTTCGCAATTATGCTAACCGTATATATAAGTAGAAAGGGTTCTTCCAATTGGAATCACACACACACGCGCACACACACACACGCACTTACACACAAGCACACACGCATGTACAATTTTTCTGCTTGGGCATTTATCCGCCGGGTGCATGTGTGCACATACACATGCACATACACCTAGGGAATTAGTCAAGCAACTACTTTGCACAGTTTGCAGCTATACATTAATTTTCACATAAATATTAAATTAGAATAATATAATAATAATCAGAAACATACACAAAAAAAAAAAAATAGTCAACTTTACAATTACCATTCGCTTACATCGAACTTGTATCATTCGCTCTCGCTTGCTCTATCCTCTTTCTCTTTCATATACATAATTTATATATATATATATATATTTTATATATATATAAATGGTATGTTTACAAAAAAGGCATAATTATTATTATTTAAATAAACATAAATCGTTTGCCTATAGGTCTGAATGAAGCAGCTAATACAAAATTACAATTTCAATTCATAATAATAATATTATATAAAAATAAAAATAATAATAATAATAATAATAATAATAGTTATAAAAAAAAGTGACCATAATATAAGTAATCTGTATACAATATGTATTCCTTGTGGCTGCTGCGTGGCCGCGATTTAATTGTGTGTCAATGCCTACTCGGAGTCCTGTTCCCGCTCATCGAAGCCCGCCAAGTCGACCGTTTGGAGCATGCCGCGCGAGATCGCATACTCGATGAGCGCCAAATGGCAGAAAACATATTGATCCGGCATTTGTATAGAGTAGGCGCGCTGCGACCGTATCTTCTCAACGGTGCCGCGTATGTCCGCGGTGCCGACATCCTCCAGACGCGATATGCAGATGTCCAGCGTGATGAAGGTGCCTGGTTAAAAAAAGAAACAAGGAACAAAGCAAAACATGGGAGTAAGTAATCGATAATGTTGATATTACGATATATAAATGATTTACTAACATTGCCCTTTTCACCCATTTTCCACCCAAGTAAAATTTCAATCTACGCGTTCAACCCTTCACAAACATATTTCGAAGTGAGTTTGAAGTCGATCGGAGTGCTAGTTGCAATCAATACATCAATAAATTATATTGTAGATCTATGAGCTTGGCGCCAAGAATTTATCTTTCGCCCACACAACCTTTGCTACCCATATTCCACAGGGAAGGGTGAATATGGCAAAAAGTGTGAAATACCTTTGCAATTGCACTTTCTAAAAGATCTTTAAACGGGATCTTTAAAAGCCGATGGGATGGTAAAAGAAAAAGTTCCATGCCACCGTTTTCCACTAATTTTCCACAGTTGCGTGCGGATTCTTCCGCTTTAGCGTGCATTTACATCGCCCATTTTCCACACGAATGGTGGATATTGCAAAAAGCATGAAATACATTTGAAATTCAGTTTCTAAAAGGTCTTTAACTGTGAGTCTTAAAATCCGATCGGATGCTTAACGAAAAAGTGTCATACAGCAGTTTTCCACAAATTTTCCACAGTTGCCAGCGGATTTTCCCCCTTAGTCGCATAGGGCTCCTACGGTGAACGTTACAGCTTACAGATTGATCGTCCATCAGCTAGTCAGCCAGTTAATGCATATAGATATCATGGTTCTTATATAATAAGTATAATACTAACCCGTGCGTCCAATGCCAGCGCTGCAGTGCACCACAATGGGCGGGCCGCGTGGATGACCAGCCCAGGTATCGCCGAGGGCGCGAACCAGCTCTGCCTGCTTGTCGCGAACCTTCTGCAAAAAGTTGAGCATGGCCATTGCAGAGCTGGGCACGCCGTAATCCGGCCAGCTGGTGAACTGCCAATGTGACACATTGCGAATTTCGTCAGTCTGTATGAGAGAGAGAGAGAGAGAGTTCGATTGATGGATGAGACGATAGAATAGAGACGCGACGCGAGAGAGGGAAACGCCGACTGACCTTTAGGTTTCTCAATTCAAGGGATGCAACGGTGTAATCCTCATTGCACTCGACGCTAATTGTTCGCACATGGTAATTCCCAAACTCCAAGGAACTTTCTTCAGTCGGCTCCCAGTATTGGCCGCACTTAACACGTCCGCGCTCCATGACGCGCGTTGTCATAACTACAACTAAGCAATGTTGTTCCCAGATCATGCGCCAAAAGTCCTGGGATGTCTTTGGTAATGGACCTGCAAGGCAAAGTAAGGCCACAAATTAGTTACCTCTCTCTCTCTCTCTCTCTCTCTCTGTCGGGCTAGTGTTCAAATGTGGTCTTAGTCGAAGGGCACCAAGTGAGAGTACACTAGTCGGGAGTGCCCGACAAGGAGATACCCTCACCACAGAACCAAGCTGCGATTACAAAAATTCTAACTCTCTCCTATGCACATACTAAATCACAAACTCACATTATGGGAAATACGTACTGAAATAAGTTCGATGTTTATAGTTCAAGCGTTATAAGATTTTCAGGGCTTAAATACGGCATATAAATGTGTGTTGTATATGCCAAAGCACAACAGTCTAGCATTCAGTTTTAGGGTAAAATATGGGATGTGCTCCAAACGTGAAATACTCTTAATCTGTGTAGACTACACGAGAATCTAACCTCTTCTCAAAATCGATATTTATCGATATTATTAAAATAGAAGGTATCGAAAGAAAAATGTGATTAGCTCGTTCTCTTGTAAGTTATAGTAGAAGCTATATAATCAAATTTAAAGTTAACAAGCCGCAGAATAGTTATACACTTTATGGGATTAGAGATGCCGGTCTCTGCCTGCTGCCTACGTTTATAACCATAAACATAGCCAATATGCCCTCTTAGTTCTAGAGTATTAAGCATAGTAATAGTTGACCCTCTCTCTATCTAGGTGCGTGTGTGTTTGTGTGTGTGTGTGTGTTGTGTCCGACTGAGAAGCCATAGGAAGCACATCGATTCGTTTGGTGACCTCTCACCTTGAGTTGAAATATAGGCGTTCTTCTGTTTATAGCCATCGACGAAATTCGCATTTATATAGTCGGAGAGCTCGTCGTCATCCTCGCGGGCGAGCACCACACGACTGTGATCATAGCAGAGGACGTCTGTGTAACGATTTTTGGTCAAATTGTTGCGCATGCTGCAAATGCAAATGATATTGGATTGGATTAGATTAGATTGGATTGGATTCGATTGGATTGGATTCGATTGGATTCGATTGGGTGACTTACCGCGCATGCAGGAAGGTGCCCTCGGGCGCCCGATTCCGTATATCCGCATACTCTTTGATTAGACCATGGCGGCAGCGCTCGCGCACCATTTGAACGATTTGCTCAATCGTTTTGGGATCACCCTCCTGGCCGGCCAGACTGTCGTCGTCACTGAAACCAGATGAGGCGCTGCTCGGCGGATTTTCCGACCAGAATTCGCCACCGCCACCGCCACCGCCGGCGCTTCCGTTGCCGCTACCGTTGCTGGCCAAACCAGCGGCGCTGCCGTTGACAGCGCTGCCAGCAGCAGCTGCCGCAGTCGCGGCCGCCGTTGGTGCTGTTGACACTGGGGCAATGTCAGCGACGGCAGCAGCACCGTTGCTCTGTTGCTGCAGCTGCTGCTGCTGTATGCCGGTCGTGTTGAGCTTGAGCAGCGCGTTGCCCGTGTTGCCAGCGGCTGCGGCGGCTGAGGCGGCTGTCCTGTGACTCGGACTCAGTCCGTTTATTGTGATGTTCTCGTTGGGCTCCGACTCGTCGCTGGCGGCACCGAGCTGCGTTCTCTGCTCGCCGCTGACTGTCACCACCGTTGTGTTGTTCTCGGCCAACTGGTGCACGGCGCTGATAATTGTTGCCGCTGTTGCAGCGCTGCCGTTGCTCAGCGGCGACACTGTCGTGGTTGCAGTCACAGCTGATGCCGTTCCAGTTGCTGTTGTTGAGGGTGCGAGAGGTGCACCCAAGGCTACACCGACACCCACACCCACACCCACACCCACAATATTGGCAAGCAGTTCGTCTTCACGATTCGTCATCGATTTGCGGCAATGTAGCAACCATGTGGCGTGATCTATTTCCAGCGTGCCGCCAAGATGCACTGGCAGCGCCTTGCGCGGCACGTGCAGGCTCAGCTGCGGCACCGATACGGTGAACACCCGCTCGCGCAGCTTCTCGCGCACAAACAGGCGGAGTATCTTGAAGGGCGCCTTGAACCACAGCGGCGCCGTCACAATCAGCACCTTCTTTAGCCGTGCCGGATAACCGCCCTAATCCCAGCCAGAAACAAAGTGGAGAGAAACCAAAACGAAAAATTAATTACTAAAAATATTTTCTCTGTTTAGACGAAACGATTATTGAATCTTAATTAGCCAACAAATTACAGCTTATTAATATATATAAACATATTATAATTGACATTAGTACGCGCGCGCGCGCGTGTGTGTGTGTGCGTGTGTGTGTGGGTGGCTCGGTGTGTGTGTGTGTGTGCGTGTGGTTATAATGAGGTATTTGTAGCTGCGACACTTGCGACACACGCTAAGGTCAGCTAGTCGACAGCGTCCCACATAGGCCCGCATAAATATTGCATATGCCAGAGTATGTACACATATATGTGTATGTATGTATCTGTATCTAAATATATATGTATCTACATATGTATCTATATATGTATATCTATATTTGACTGGCAGGTATTAGCCGGCTTTGCTGGGCCCAAAAGTTTTGCTCCATTTGCCGTTGGTGGGCATATTAAAATGCTTCCCATATAACCTTGAAACAGGCATTTCCACCCAGCGAGCAGCCAATTTCGCACAATCGGTCACATTCACATTCATCACATTCAGACTCACATTTTGTTAAATATTTAATGAAGTCAATCGGATGAAAAAACAGAATAGTTGCTTGCTCAAGTTTCCCACGAATTGCCAGACCTGAGCGTTAAGAGTGTTCCAAATTAATGAAACATGTATTCAATCAATATTTCAATCAATTTTTGTGTAGAGCTTCGCAAATAAATTGTAGGCTGATCGCATAAAACTTGAAACTTTGGGCAAACAACCTTTCACCACCGAAAGGAGGGTGGATTTTCCGAAAAATCTAATTCGCCTATCAAATGGATTCTTATAGAGATGAATGGAGAAAGAAAACATGCATAAAAAAGATTTCCACCAATTTTCCACTGTTGCAAGTGGAATTAAATTACTTTAGATGAAGTTAAATAGTTAATTAGATTAAAGGTTTTATATAGAAAGAAAACATGCATAAAAAAGATTTCCACCAATTTTCCACTGTTGCAAGTGGAATTAAATTACTTTAGATGAAGTTAAATAGTTAATTAGATTAAAAGTTTTATGCTTTTATGATTTTAAACATTTCTTTATAAAATTCCTCGAATTGGCCAATAGAAAGTAACTGTTGATTGTTATTCAAAAAATGATTTCTTTTATAAAAACAGATTTGTTCACCAGGACTCACAAAGCATCAACGCGGCAACTTTGTGTCAAATAAAATGCTTGAACTTAGTTTCTTACGATCAGATAAGCGAGTGAACCGTTTGATTTTCTTATAATAATTATTACTAGATTGGTTTCAAGTTTCTTTGGTCTTTTATTCGAGTTACTTGGATAAACTTTACGCCTTCGCACAAATCACTTAACGGCACGAACGGAAACACAGTGTTAAAAGAAATTGAATTTTTATTATTTAAGTATTTCTTATACAAATGAACACAAAACACGTGTGAACAGCAATGGAGCTTGTCAAGGAATAAATATTGATTTTAACTTTCTGCGCAGCAATTCAAAATCCATGGCCTACAAAGATTTTACCTTTCGAGTATTTAAAAATATAAGAAAAAAGCACACTAAGTCGTACAGAAAACTCCTAACCAAGTATTAAATGTTAAACATTGTTCATTCAAATTCCAAGAATCTTTTTCGGGTTTCATGCTTTCATTCTAAATATTCTCAATCTGTTTGTATTAAGCTAAGTTATATTTCGACCTTCTTTCTGTAATCGCTATTTATCGATATTGCGCGATAGTCGATAATCTCGACATGGCAGCTACACCCTTTTCTTTACTTTAAAAATAGTCTCCGGAATAGATCAATTGGAAAAACTTGTAAGTGCAATGTGAAAGCAGGCGGAAAATGAAATGTGACTTGACTCATGCAACATTGTGCGTGGGTGCATGCCGCAGTCGCGCGACTTTGCTGCTGCTGTGTGTGTGTCTGCGTGTTAAATTAAGTGTAATATTAACAACAACAACAACAACAACAACAACAATCTAGGCGAATCAAATTAAATTATTGCTGCTGCGACACAACCTTCACCCAGTTGCAGATGTGAAAAAGTTTTATTGCTGGCATTTCTCAGTGGCGAAAAGAAAATAAAAAAAAAAACGACCGCGACCACGACGACGACAACCACCCAAAAATGCGGCGCCCACTTGGCCCGGCCATTTCCAGCTTGCGCCGGCACACTTCTCGTTTGTGTTTGTATCCGTGTCAACGCCATTTATACCTAGTTTATTGGCCAATCTCAGCCCCTCTCGGCGCTTCTCAATGTGCATGCATACATACATATGTATGTACATATTTGCTTGTGGTTACCTACATAGGTAAGCACGGAGATTAAGGTCAGCTGCAATAGCAACAGCCACAATCACAAGAGCAACGCCTACAACAAGTGTATCTACAGCGAGCCTTTATAAAAAGCAATTGCCACAACGACGCCCACGACGCACACGACAAGAGTATAAAATTAAACCACAATTAAACTGCATTTTTCGTGGAACATCAGATATTTTCCGTTTCTATTCTTTTTTAGCCAGTTAATCAGGCCACGCATTTTGCGCATTCTAATAATAAAACAGCCATTATGAAAATGAAACTCCAACGCGTTTCGGCGTCCAGTTGCGGCTTCATTAAGGATTCGCATTTTTTTGTTTTCAACCAAGTTCATATTTCCATTTTAATTAATGTTCATTTGAGAGAATCTCAATTTCAGTTTTTTACTAACGAATTATTGGTAATGTTGCCAACTGGCAAAATTATTGAGAAATAATAGAAATGGAAATGCAATTCGGTGTTGTAGTTGGCAACGCTAATTGGCGCCAGTTTTTCGTTTCCACGCAAATATGTACGTATTCCAGTAAAGCATTTACAATCTTCTGGGAATTTCACTTCCCAGAGACAGTTAGCGGTTTACGAGCGCTGAGCGAAGGCATTCATGTTTATGGCCTCTATTTATTTGAAAGTCTTGTTCTTGTTCTTGTTCTTGTTGTTGTCGCTCTCAACGGTGGGCCAACAGTTGTGGCACAATTGTGGCACAGTTGTGGCCCAGTTGTTGCGGCTGTCGAGGCGTTTTCAAGCTTGGCCTTTGGCGCAGCAAAGTAGGCAACACATTTAACCAGCTGCCAGAAGCTTCCTTCTTCGCTTCCACGGTTCCCTTCCAGCAGTTCAGCTTGGAAAGCGCTCGACTGGAACGGGTCTCTGTGTGTTTCCCAGTGTGTGTGTGTGTTTCCCAGTGCTCTCAATGTCACAACTGTTGCAGCCGCTTGACCCACACGGCGGGCCACGGAAAATCGAAGCCAATTTGCATAACACAAATACACATCAAATATACACGCGCAATGCCTGAATTTGTTGGACTAGGATTGAATCAAGGGAAACAACAAAAGGAAATATATTTTCCTTTTCTATTTGTGTGGTTTGCTGTTGTCCTTGTTATTATTCTTACTGTTCTTGCGTGTGCTCTACCATAAGCCCCAGATTTAATTACTTCTATGCATTTATAAATATTGCCCAAGTTTGCGTTTCGTGTTTGTTTCCCTTTTGCTTTTTTCATATCTTAAAGGTGACCCATCGAGCTGTGTATACTAACTACATATACATTTATTCCGTTGACAAACTGTACATCAAGGGCATTCGAGTTGTTGGTTGATTGGAAAACGCGTATTTTCTTTATTGTAGACCTGTAAAAACTTGAATACTCATTTGTCACTCGGGAAAGTCGGTATATCTTTTGTTCGACTTTTAGTTGAGCGCTTAAGAAAAGGTTTAGACAGGACTTTTCGCCCATTTTCCACCAGAATCATACTTTACCAACAACAAATGACGACAAGAGACAGGAAAAAGAGAGAGAGAAGAACCTGAGCTTAAATAGCAAGAAAGGAACTATCGACATCAAAGTCATTCTTCATCTCAGCCTGTTCACTAGCCCTCCAGTTGACTAGGAAGACGTCCTGATTCTCCTGGTAACTAAGGCACACCCCTATAACGTAAGAAAGAGAAGAGTAAATGGACTAACTAACAACACTTTAAGATAACTAAATATTTTCTCAATAATGCCATAATTTTGTTAGCTGTAAGTCAGAGACTTCTTATCCTGTCCTCATATATTAAATATTTGGCAAATATTTGAATCATTTATATTGCTATTATTAGCTGTGGATGATATGGTTTGCTATCTTTAGATTAAGCTAAGCCCACACTATATATGGATTGATATATCCATGCACCAGCCTCTGCTGCGAACTGGGCCTAAATGCCTGACCGAGTGGCTAACTCTGCGTAGTAGCTGGTCTAACTGCGTTTCCCTTGGTTTTTTTCCTATCAGTTTCATATGAATTCGAACGAATATGCAATAATAATAATTAAATATAGTTATTGGCCTGTTTTGGGGAGCACACGACACACAGCACAGCACACCAGGCCCCCGAGCCGAGCCACTGGCCCACAAATGATTCCCACAAATTGGAATATTTTCGCTTTGAGTGTGTGCCAGAGTGTGTGTGTGTGTGGGCGCAAATGCTGGCAAATGAGGCACGTAATAAGATACAAGAGACAAAATATGCGCATTGTCGTAATAAGCAGCATTATGACGCACCTGTCCCTAATAAACAGCAGCAACAATATTGACATAATCATCATTCAAGCAATTGAGACCAACCCACGCAGCAGCCTCAAATAAAGCTGAAAATAATAATCGCGCGCGCGCTCACACACACACACACACACACACAGACAAACATTTAGCCGGCTGCAATTGAGTCCAAAGGAAAATCAAGTGAAGCCGCAGCCTGCCCTTGAGCGCACGCCCACACGACGCCTTCAAGCGTCGAGTGGAGCGCATGCGAGGCGGGCAGCAGGGCAGCAGGGTAGCGGGTAGCGGGAGGCGGGCAGCGGGCAGCAGGCAGGAGCAGGTGAAGGCGGATTGCAGCATGGAAGAAGAGCCACACGAGATGAAGTGGCCATGGTTAGCACTC